AATATCAAGCAAAGGTGATAGGCCCAATTTGCCTCAGGTGGAGGAAATAACAGTAGGCAGTTTTAAAAGACCAATAAAACTGATTATAAATTAATCTTTTTATTATCATCATGCACTGGTAATTATAAACAATGTTAGCATTAAGATACTCTTCCCCCATAAAAAATATTTTGTTGGTATCAGTTCTAACTCACTGTTTCATTAGTTTTTACTAATCAGTTTTCATTTAGTCTTTTAACACCATTTTAAAGAGAGCTTATTTTGCTTCAGTCTTAACTCCCTACTGCTGCAATTAGAGACTGAGGGTCAGGAAGAAGAGATTGGGTGGGTATATGAAGAATGTACTCATGAGAATATAATCTTCAACATAAAGATAATGATTAAAATAGTTTTCATTAATATATCCTTCAACATAAGAATGATATATTCACTTAAAATTGTATTTAAAATATATTTAATCATATTTTTATGAAAATTATTCTAGATTTTTTCATCTATGACAATGTTCTTAGATATTTAACTTGCAAACTTGTCTATTTCCGTGTAGAGTCCCTTCTCCAACATCTGTATATGTACAAATCCAAATCCCCCTTCTTTCAAGTCCCAACTCGAATTCCACTTCTACTGTAAAGTTGTCTCTTTCCTCTGAATCTGTGTAGCAATAGATATGCTATTATTATAGCCTACCCCACTGCCTACATTTTATCAGTCATTGTGTACACGTGGTATAGTTGGAATTAAATCTGTAAGCTCTTAGGCATTGTTATTATTGCTTATTCATTTCAGTAACTTCAATATACCTGGTAAAGTGCCTTGCCCATAGCAGTCATTCTAGAAAGAGGCACAGATTACTTTGAATTTGTTCATATAGAAAACATATATGATTTTCAAGATTCTTTCAGCACTGCAGTATTGTGATTCTTTTAATCTCTCTGTATGCTATGCTTCAAAGTGAATGTTTTTAGGACTACAGAATGGAAAGAATAAATTTGAAGAAAATAGATTTGATGTTTAAGGGTTTTATAATAAATCCTTTGCAAATTGCATCCTTTTTTAATGAATATAACTATTCTTTGGTAATAATTGTTTAATTAGACTAAACTAAAAAACACTACTATGCAAGGTCACAGCCTATGGTTAGTATATGCCAAGCCAAGGATAAACACTCTGGGGGAGAAGAAATAATTTTAAGGCCTAGGGCCTGTATTTCTAGCAGGAGATACTAAAATCACATTCATCCAAATTAAAACAAACTGTGAAATATTTTTAAAATACTAATTTTATTAATTACTCTATGAGGGATTAGCAACAAGGGCCAATGAGTGGGATTTGGCCTGAAAACATTATAACCTCAAGCCAAGTGAGGCAGGAAGAATATGCATGAAAGTCTGTTGAGGATATTCTTACATTGACAAGGCTATTTATTCATTTGCCAAAACCATTAATACCTACAATGCACCACTGTTTACTTGTAGTTTCCCCTCATTAAAGTGAAATAAGATCTTAACCAAATGAAAAATCTTTCAAAGTATTGGAAAATATAAATGTATGTTATTATTCTTACATATTGCATCAATAATATATACAGCAAAATATGTTTTTTAAAGTGCTCTGAGATATCTAAGAATGGAGTGATTAATAATTCTGCACTGAAAGATTAAATAAAGCTTTGGACAGTAGGTGTCCTTTGAATTGAAACATGCAGTATGCTAAGATTTCAGATGTGAATGAAGTTTGCATATATTTTGGAGGTGATGATTGAGGGGTGCAGGTAGAGTGTTAGTAAGTCACTAGTGGCTTGTGTGCAGAGTTTGTCCCTAGAAGTGAATCTAGTAAGGATGGATTGGATCTATAGCACATTACAGATTGCCACAAATTCTTTGTTGCTCCTCCTGTGATGAGGTAGAGTACATTTCCATATCCCTGGAATCTGAGATGACTTACTTTGACCAACTGAGTGGAAGGGAATTGATATCATATAAGTTTGGATCCTTGTAACCTCTCATCTCACACTCCTGGAACACCATCTCCATGTGACTAAATCTGAGATAGATTACTGAAGAGGATATGTAGATAAGTGGGTCACCCTGATTGAAACTTCTCAATGGCCAAGTATGGAGTGAGGCCATCAAAGATTGTTTGATCCCTTACAAATTACCAGTAGATTAGGCAGGTAAGTAAACCCAGGTGAAATCAATAGAAAAACAGCCCAGCTGATTTCAGCCCAAACTGACAATCCTCAGAATCATTAAATGATAAATGGTTATTGTTTCTAAGCCACTAAGTTTTGGAAATGGTTTATTACTCAACAATGATAAACTAATATGATGGCCTACTGAAGGCCTGTAATGTGATACCAAAGTTTTTGGGTTTTATTCTCCAAAAATTAGTGAGCTCTGACATAGTGAGCATTGAACAAGTGGAATTTGAAGTTAAAAACACACCACTGTTTACATTACCACACCAAAAATGAAGCACTTCAGTATAATTCTAACAATGTACAAGATCTATATGAGGAAAACTTCAAATCTCTGATGAATTAAATGAAATAAGAACTAAATAAGTATACAGACATTTCATGTTCATGGGAAAGAAGACTCACTATTTCAAGATGCCATTTCCTCCAATTGGATCAGTGGATTTGATGCAATCCCAATCCAAATCCCAGCAATTTTTTTTTAATCAACTAATTGTTTCTAAAGTGCATGGGGAGAGGTAACAGACTCAGAATACTGAAGAAGAACAAAGTTAGAGAACTTACAGTATCTAACTTCAAGACTTACTATAAAGCTACAGAAATCAAGATAGTGTGCTATTGGTGAAAAGGTAGACACATAGATCAGTGGAACATCAATAGAGATTCCCCCAAGTAGACCCATGTAAATAGAGTCAACTGATCTTTGATAAAGGAACAAAGGCAATACAATGGTTCTCTCATCCATTCAGAGCCTCCTAAGTGTGTTTTTGTGTAATGTTTAGGGTTCTTAGTTATATTTAGTGGGAGAAATAGTGAGAATTATGTCTAGTCCATTTTTCCAAAATGGAAAAATCTTAAAATTGGTCTTAGTAGCACTTCAGTATGTTTTCACTTGAACTAACTACAACATAACAAACAGGTCACAAGTTGAATGTCTACTGTGTATCACACAAAAGATATACATTGTGAACTACAAAATACATTTATTTTCTCTAAATATTCAATGTCAATGCCTGTTTCCAGCTCTTGACTTTTTGGTGGCCCTCCAGAATTTATTTCCTGATTCTTTCAAAAAGGCGTTTTAAAATTAGTTTGAGCCCAAATTATCTTTAAATTCTAAAGTCTCCTCTTCTTCAAGGAAATGTCCCCATTTTAGCTGCCTCCCTTGATCCTCCTGTAGCCCCAATTAAGTTCTAGCCTCTGGTGAAAGCAAAATGGTTTGGAAGAATCAGACCATAGCTTCTTCTCAAGGGTAATAGCTGGTAATTTGTATTTCTTGAATAAACTGTTAACATGTGAGCCAAATCCTTGAGGTATGGTAAGTGCTCAATACACCATTAGAGACTGAAATGGGTTCTAACTAAGAAGAACTGTAAGGATAGATATCCTTACTGGCATCATTTCTCATCATGTAGAGATATAAAGATCTGAAATAGTCCTCATTTACCAAGTTCTTGCCTTTGCCATTCTATCTGAAGTTTTGTGCTGGGAAAGAATAGCAGGTGTAGGTATTTTTCAGATCTATTCCCTGCCCTTCACTGCTGGGCTTTGTAACACAAGGGGATCAACTCTGTAAATTACATTTCCTAGGTTCCTTTGCCAACTGGCTTCTACTTATTTTGGGACAATAGAAAGCATTGGTGGGAAATTGGAATGTGGGAAGAATGGATAATTTCTCTCCTCTCTGTTTGCTTTGGGAGGCATCTTTGGAAGTGACAGTGACTCCTTAGCAACTATAGTTATTACTGGACAGCTTATTCTTCTCTATTCCAAATTCCCCATCTACTAGTCTTGGTTCCTAGATTCTGGTAAGACCACCACCATTCTTTCTCTCTTCATCTCTAGGAGTGATGATGATGCTTTACTTCAATTGCCTCATTTAATTATTTCCTAACATCTTATTATCCCCATTATCCCTAATATCACACAGGTGGTAAGTGGTAGAAGTGGGATTTGAACTGTAGCAACGTAATCACCAAGCTCTATCCATTTAAGCAGTGTATTGCGATTACATCAAGCTCTAGTGGGACCGCAAACCTTCCCAAAATGAGATGCAAAATTAGAGAGTAGCTCTTTCCCTGAAGTCTGATAGGTAATTAAAAGGTAAATTACATATTTGGATTTTCTTTAATAGTCCGCTATAGATGGTATTTTATATAATAGAGTGAGAGAGCTAAAATTACATCCAAAAATGAATGTAGATTTTAAAATTTTGAGTTAATAATGCTTATCTCCTCATATTATCCTGAAAGAAACACTGCAAGTGCTTCTCAACTTCTTTTTCAACTAATCAAGAGGAGATTGAGCTCTATAATTCTTGACGAATAGTTTTACCTTCTCTCAGCTTGTTCTTTCAAGTGAAATTTCATGATATTATGTATTCCTTTCTGTAGCAGATGTTGATGCAAAAATTATGTGGTTTCTGGTAAGAAAGCTTGTTTCCACATATGCAACCAGAAAAAAAAATTTTGTTATTCAGGCTGACCTTTCAGCCCACTATTGACATTTTTGTCTCAATTTGTAAGAGGTAACTTTCCAGTTGTTTTTGGTGAGCCTTTCAATTTGGTTGTCAGCTAAAATAACATTTAAGTGCATCCTCAGATGAAGTATTTTTCTCTTGTGGGCTAAGGTTTATTAACCAATACAAAGACTATCTAGGTCAGACTCTCTCCATTTTGAATTATGTTAAAACTCTTAATGTGCTTTAGGCTGAATACATCATTCTCCAGTTTGAGATTTTAAAGAAAAATTGAAGACAATATCACAATTGAATACTTTTAAATAAGAGTCAACAGATACCAAGGATTTTCCTTTTTTTTAATAAATACATAAAGCTCTTTATCATTTCCTTCAATTATTTTGATTAACATGAGCATAGGATCTTTCAGAGCATCATTATACCAATTTTCACAGCCTGATGTAAGGACTCATTTCACAGAAATAATCATGACTAGCATTAATAGATGAATGTCAGTGCCATAACACAACATTATAAGGCATATTTACACCATCTTAACATACAGAACACCATACACATACACAAAAAAATCACAGATCCAGAACAAATAAAATGCAATCTCCTAGACAGCATACATTTATAGGTTTTGCCTGGAACTTTTTTTTTTGCATTTTTGTAATTTTTTTCTTTCCAAACAACAAACAGATCTTCCTTATGTCTTGTGATTTATTTGTAACATTGTGCTCATGCAGAAATAATACTTGTTTTATTGCATTAACATTTAAACAGTTTTGGATTGGATTCGAAAACATCACCTAACATTTTATTTGATGTTGCTTCATCCATACTGTCATTTTAGTGGGACTGATAGGATGATTTATTTTTAGTGAGTTACAAAATAATAAACATATTGAGTTGACCACAGTTCAAAACTCAAGATTCTAAGCTTCTTGATCATGCACATTTTACTTTCATTCTTGCAAAATGGTTTATGTGAGATACACCATTTTGATTCAACACTTATTGTTTCTTTTCTTCTTTTCTTTTCTTTTCTTTTCTTTTTATCATATTTCTAAAAAAAAACAAAAAACAAAAAGAATGAAAGAAAATACTGTCCCATATTCACTGTTCACAAAAAAAGGAAGAGCAGCAAGAATCTCATTGACCATTGTTAGGATACAGTCAGGTGATGACACTGTAGTAAACATCAAATGTCACTGAAATACGGCAGGAACGTGATAATTACTATAGCCCATACTTCTGCAACAGTTCAGATTGCCATTGGCGTTTACGCTCTGGGAAATAATCTGGAATATGGATGTTTTTAAAATCCTGAATACACTTTTTCATTTCTTCTTCTGCACTTAGCTTCTCACAGGCTTTCTTTTTGGAAAGATTTGTTTCCCGGGACTTGCTGATGAGTGTCTGAAAGAGTTCACTGTTTCTGCGTTTGTCTGGTGGAGGCATCCATTGCAGAGGCTCCTTTTTGGAAGGGCGATCCAACGTTAAGGTGTTAGGCTGGTGAGCTGTTGCCTGCTGGGCGTTGGGTGGGTTGTCCTGGGGAGTGCTTGCCTCCGAGTGGCTGTCACAGCTGGAAGTGGAGAGCTCATTACAGGAAGTCCCGCTTTCACTTCCTTTGTCTGTGACTTTATCGTGTTTCTTATCTTCATGTTCTTGTTTAGGTGACACTATTTTCTGAGGTGGCCCTAAAATGGAAAAAGAAAAAGGAGTAGAACAATTGAATAAGAAGTGAGAAGGTCAAATTAAATAAACTTTATATATTTTTTATTTTAAACCAGAACATGTGTCTTAACAAAAATGTTGTCACACTAGTTTATATTTGAGGGATTAAACACAGCACCTAGTGCCATTAGTGTTCATTGAAACATGCAGCATACTGATTATTTATAACAATAAAGTTTGAGAGATTTGCTTAATGTGCATTTCTGCATAATAGATAATCAATAACTTTATGATAAAAAGACGATTTTTATTATTTTCGTTACTAGTTCCTGAAATCTGAAAAAAAAAACCTATGTAAATATTTTCCTAGTCCCAAAACTGTTTCATTAGACAGTTCATTTCTGTTCTAGCTATTGGCACTAGGTGTCCTCTGTGTACATATTTTACCATTATAAAAGCAGGAAGTACCATTGCTCTACTTCACAAAGGAGTAGTATTCTCCAGACTTAGAGGTGCAATAGCATCATTTGTGCTTCCAAGTGGGAGGTTGGTTTAAATCTTATCCTCAGTCTCTTAATCTTGCTTCCTGTCTATTTCCTTGGAGAGAATTATGATAATGCTGTAAGATATATATGTGCCTAATATTATGGTGAAAAAATATAGTTGAAAAACAGCATTCTCTTAAAATACAAGGTAAATTTGAGGTAAATTTGAGGTAAATTGCCTAGGAGGACAATTTTCAGAAAGTGATAGTTTGCCAAGATAATTATTTCAAATACACAAACAGTTTATTTCCAAGAGGGAGTGTATTTTATTCTCCTTGACTTTGCTGTGGGATTAGGACCTCCACTTAACATTTACTGAACACCACCGCATACCCAGAACTATAATAAAATCTTGATTAACTTGAGCCCAACCATTCAGAAATACAACATTACCCAAATCTTATTTTTCTCTCATAGTCAACTTTTATGAACAAGTTGTATAAATCAGAATGGGAAGAAAGGAGTCAGTATTTTTAAGCAATGCCCTGGGGATTTTCCTGTGCAGCCAAAGTTGAGAACAATTGGTCTAATTCATAGGGCTTCAAGCTTAGCCCATATGAAATTACCTGAAAAGTTTAGATTACAATGCCTGGGTCTTAACCCCAGAGATCTGCTTTAATGAGATGCCACCTGGCAATGGGGCCATTTAATAGATCCAGGTGATTTCAATGTACAGCCAAGATTATGAATCTTTCCTTAGTCTAATATACACAAAATGAGTATTAACCAATACAAATAATTTATATTACTCAGAAGAGTTGAGAAACAAATCAACAAAAATACTTTCAATGAAAGCACCTACTTTGTGCCACACACCATTGTGTACCAATTATTCTATTGAAAATCAGAAGAAACAAAAGTTGAAAACAAACATTAATTGAGTGAGACTAAAGGTTTAAAAAAGCTTTATAACTTTACAGAATGATGGAAATATTCTATATATTGGCTGTAATGTTAGTTACAGCACTATTTACATTTGTCAAAACTGATAAAATTGCATAGCTAAAATGAGTGAGTTTTTCAAACCAAAAATATATCAAAAGACCCTTAAGGAATATGTACCTATTTGAGGGAAGATCTTAACCAATATTTTATAATTTCTTTGTCTGCAAGACAATAAAACTAGAACAAATGCTTATGAATGCTTAAAGGAACTACACTAATATATTTTAGAATCATTTGCAACTATGAATTAAAGAAAAAAACTACTACATTTTTTAAAAGCTTCTGCTATTTTCATTTATGGTATGAGAGAATGGGGTTGGGCATGGAGAGGAGGAATCTGAGGGATGGAGGTGGAGAAGATGCACTTCTAATATTCATTGCTGAATAATCCATTAAGGAATATGTACCTATTTGAGGGAAGATCTTAACCAATATTTTATAATTTCTTTGTCTGCAAGACAATAAAACTAGAACAAATGCTTATGAATGCTTAAAGGAACTACACTAATATATTTTAGAATCATTTTAACTATGAATTAAAGAAAAAAACTACTACATTTTTTAAAAGCTTCTGCTATTTTCATTTATGGTATGAGAGAATGGGGTTGGGCATGGAGAGGAGGAATCTGAGGGATGGAGGTGGAGAAGATGCACTTCTAATATTCATTGCTGAATAATCCAGATCCATTCTGAACCCTCCTCTTCCTTAGGGGCTAATGGACACAAACTGTCAGCCACACTGTCAGCCTGATGACACAGGCCAGGCAGTCGGATGGCAGGGACTGCACAGCGGCCTTCCCAGAGGAGCAACCCCGATATCCCTCCTGCTCAAAATGTCCCTCCTAATAAATTTGCTTATTTTGGTTTCAAGTCAAACTGCCCCTTCAGGGAAAAGGCCATATCCAATTCTTCCTGAAAACTTTAGGTACTGGCCCTAAAGGAAATTGGAAAAAAACCACTACTGTCCTTGTGACTACCTCCAATGATGGGAAAGTGAGACCCCATGAGTATTGGACCCAAGTTTCTTGGAAAAAAGATATGGAAATTTACCTGGGTTGAGGTTCCTTCCCCCACCCCTACATGGCTTCCAAATAACATATTCAATGATTAATGGTGACAGGTGGGTACAGAGAACAAATGAGATTCTTGCCAAAGAACAACCTGGCAAAACTATAAAACAAATGAGAATAGGGAATTACCTAACTCCAGATCAGAAAAATCTCCATTGTAAGTCATACTGAAAATGGGTCCGAGGGACAGTCCATAAACTTTGTCCCTGCCTGCCAAACGGTCATCGTGTCCTTTTAGAGAGAGCCTCTTTCTCTCCTACCAGAGATAAAGAATGGGAGTATAGCTATGAAAGAATGAGGGCGCTACATAAAAATAGTAGAATAGTGAACTTTAGATAGTCATCTGTAAAGAAACCAAGAGTCTAGCACCTACCTAACCTTTGTAAGATTTTCTGGCCACAGTAAGTAAGAAGAAAGCTTACTTAGAGACAAGTTAACTGCTAAGACTTGCAAAATCATGTAATCTCATTCTCCAAACTCATGTAACCGTGCTATGTGTCAGTTAAATGATTAATATCTGTACTTTATGTAATCAAAGAGTATGTAATAAAGCTGCTGCTTTTCATTAAAGGCCAGGCTCAGCTTTTCCTAGTGTCTGTGTCCTCACTCATTCATTCAGTCGCTGACACCATTCTGGGACTCCTGGACTCGCTGGAGCTGGACTCAGGCAATATCCTTAGGCCCCTTTGCTTTTGGCTTTCAGTTGGGTTCAGTCAATGACAAAGATTGGCAAGACCATGTCCTCACCCAACCCTACTCCCAGGATCTCTGTGATCCCATTGCATCCCTGGACCAAGAGGCACAGCCCTGTCCAACAGCAATCTCCACCTCCTTCTTACTTATCCCCTCTCTCTCTCCTTCTGCCACCCTTTTTTCCTATTCCATTAAACAGGCTCATGTCTTCATGCCTACAGGTGCTAACCATATCCACTGTAACTTGCATGAGGGTATTGCCTACACTGTTGCAAACTGTCAAAATCAGCTTTTCTCAAGTTACCCAATTGGATATGCCTTCTCTTTCTTCTGGGATCCTAAGGCCCACAATGATCACCAGCCATCCTCTCCATTGACTAGAGGGATGCTACTTGCAGATTCAGTTGTTTAGTGGCACCAGATTTTAGTAGCTTCAGTTGTTTAGTGGCACCAGATTTTAATAGCAATAATATTCAAAAGGGATGGGTTTGGAGCCCTACTGACTTGAAATCAAATTCCAGCTCTTTTGGCAAATAGTCTTGTGGCTTTGAGCAAGATACGTAGTTCGTCCAAGCCTCAATTTCCTTATCTATAAAATGGGGCAGTAATACTTTCCTCATAAGATTATTTTGAGATTAAAAGAAATACCAAACAAAGGGCTTAGTACAGTAATACCCAACAATGACAGTATATCACTGCAATTTTTTTAAATGTACAGATGCTCAGGCCCATCTCTGGAGGTTTTAAATTTGCTGAAGGGTTTGTATGTATGTGTTTATATGGAAGTCAGGGTAGTGGAGGAGGTGCACCATTTCTAATTATCTAATAAGATAATCTAATTTATCTAATTATCTTTATGGTTGAATGTGATCCCAAGTTAGCATGATGCCTACCAGCCTAGTACAACAGAGAATATAAATAAATGTTTTCATCCTTTCTGTCAATCTTCTGCATTACTTTAACCAACAATCAATTCCTATAGAAGAATCTATAGGATTTTCATTCCTAATAATGACTGAAGGATTAAATTACAAATATCTGGGAAAACCAATTTATATTTAAGGATAAGTGAGTCATGAGAAATCATTTCCTGTTAATAGGCAGGGGATAGAGCATTAGGTACACATATCCAAGCAGAAAAGTAATAACACCAGAGTGAAAGACAGTACAGAAGAGGATAATACATAACACCCAAGCAAATGTTTTTTTTTTCCCACTGAGGAAAAAAATGCTTAATACATTTGCTAGGGAAGATACAGAGTTATATAAAGTCCATGCATTAGCCAAATAAATTATATGCAGTTATTGTGCCTGATGGTATTAAATATATTTATGGATATAAGGCTCCCCCACCTCCTTAATATACATGCACACAAATGCAGAAACTTCACAGTAACAATAGAATGCAACATACGTGTGATAGAAATGAATTGCTCTTAGCATAAGACAGAAGATCAAAGAAAACTTTGAGGAAGGCATTAATCACTTAAGTCAATATGGAATTGTTTGGAGCACTACTAGGTGCCAGGCTCTGTGTTAGGATCTGGAGGAGGCACATAGTGGGTGCTCTAGTAAAGCTCACAGGCTATCTTATAACACTACATGGTTAAAATGCATGAGCACTTGAGGGTATCTCCCACTGTAGACTTTAAATTCTGTGGGAAAAAAAGGAGGTGGAACCCAAATTTACTATGACCTTATAAGCTTTTTTTTAAAAGAACTTAGAGTAAGTAGAGATATTAACAAGGAATAACAAATATACACCTTTAT